CTTGATTTCGAACAATTAATAGATATTATGTTGTTACATTATGTAACATAAGTAATAAGTAATAATTAATACGAATGTTATTTTATACACTATATAATATTTTATTTTTTCCCATATTGTTTAAAATTAATCGATACGAAACAGCTCTTGATTTCGAACAATTAATAGATATTATGTTGTTACATTATGTAAATAAGTAATAATTAATACGCATGTTATTTTATACACTATATAATATTTAAATTTTTTCCTTATTGTTTAAAAATAATCGATATGAAACAGCTCTTGATTTCGAACAATTAATAGATATTATGTTGTTACATTATGTAATATAAGTTATAATTAATACGCATGTTGTTTTATACACTATATAATATTTTAATTTTTTCCTTATTGTTTATAATTAGTCGATACGAAACAGCTCTTGATTTCGAACAATTAATAGATATTATGTTGTTACATTATGTAAATAAGTAATAATTAATACGCATGTTATTTTATACACTATATAATATTTAAATTTTTTCCTTAGTTTAAAATTAATCGATATGAAACAGCTCTTGATTTCGAACAATTAATAGATATTATGTTGTTACATTATGTAATATAAGTTATAATTAATACGCATGTTGTTTTATACACTATATAATATTTTAATTTTTTCCTTATTGTTTATAATTAATCGATACGAAACAGCTCTTGATTTCGAACAATTAATAGATATGTTGTTACATTAATATAAGTTATAATTAATGCACATGTTGTCTTATGCTATACAATATTTTTATTTTTTCCTTAAATTTTTCACATGCATCATGTGACAACCCTATCAGAATAGGTATACATTTTCAACGTTGTTAAGAAGCTTCCCCTCGGGTCCTTACTCTTTACTCTGTGACGTTAACCATGTAATTTAAGTAACATTTTCCACTTTTTAAATCTTTGTTAATTCAGTAACCGTCCGTCGTGATGTCTCTCTCGAAGTTCGCAGCTCTGTCCTGTGAAAAGTACCAGCAAGAAACTCGGTGGGGCCTTTCTTTTTCAAAGTAAAATTATGCAATAAAACGCAGTTCGTACAAACTACTGACAACGCTTATTATCAACTGTGTATCTATTCATTTAAACTATAAAAACCATTTTTATACAGTTTTTGTTTATTAAAATATTTAAAGTTACTAAATATACATTGCCCCACTTAGTCTGTTGGCTGGTTTAATATATGGGAGTCCCCACTGACGTTTTGCATCGGAAGTAATACCAAGAAAAACAATGGAATCGACAGTTCTTCCTCATTAAGTTATTACGTTCCTGGCGTGCCAGTTGGAGCTGCTATTTCATTTGGCTGTGACTTGGCGTTACGAATATTCGTTCTTCTATTTATTGTAAATAATAAAATACAACAAGTATCGAAAACAGAAAGAGCAGAGTTAGCTAAGGTAGAGTTGTTGTTTTATCTACAGATGTCGCATCAAATTATCATGAAAATAATTCGAAATAAAATGAGAAAAAAAAAATATTGTGCCAACTTGCTAATATTTTGAATAATAAAAGGCTGTCACTTTTTGTTTGGAAACAAACCGACTGTGAATAATATTGCTGTAGATAAAATTGAGGTGGATAAAAACAATTTACTGTATTTAAATTTATAAAATTATTTTATGCTTGTATGATACGTGAGCACAAGTATTGTATACGTACTTAAAAACATGTTGTGAATACGATGCCTACAGTTGTACTCTTTTTACGAAAACTTTAGTGCGGAGCGAAATGTCAATTACATAGAAAAAATGACGTTGCATTACATTACAAAATAGACTGTTATCCAAATATAAATTCTTAAAAAATATTATTAACAAACTGTAGGGTACCTCACTAAAACCAGGAAATTGTTCATTTCAGGTTATTTTATAAACTATTCATATTGAGTTTCCTATACGCGTGTTTGGCGTAACCTGCTTACCGCGGCATTTTGTGTCGTTAGAGTGTTCATCAGAACTATTTTTAAAATACCTTTGGCTTTACTCATGAAATAATAAAATAAAGTTATTCTCTCTCTTTTATAAATGGCTATAGAAATAGACAGGTATGGAGATAATTAATACATAAGTAAGAGAAAATAAACAATCATAAGTTAGACCCTCAATGATTTTTTTCCTTGATATAACTTAAACTTGTAACGGTATAACTTAGAGTGCGTTAACTTAAAGCACAGAATAAATAATAGTACTACGTATTAAAGTCAGAACTTTTTATAGAGCAATTATTAGAATTAATAATATAAGACGACTATTCGACGTAATACATACCATAATTTTTATGCTATGCAAATATTGAGAAAATTGAAAATATCCTTCAGAAGAGAAGAACTAGCAGGTTTAGAACTAGAAAACATTGAAACTTCACCGAATGCAAAAGGAATGCTGATTAGACGTATTAAACACAGATACGAGTACTCGTATTAATATTAATTTAAAACAAATTGAATTGTTTCACTCATTTAAAAAAGAAGTAATTTAAAATGTTTTTCCTTGTATCTTATTATACTTTGATATAGTATTTGAGATCTTACAATGCTTATATTGGTTTTAAATGACCTTTTTTTTGTTAGTGACGACCTGGTAAGACATGCAGGAAGTCGATGGATGCAGGTAGCTCAGGACCGTGCTTCGTTGCATTCCTTGCGGGAGACCTATGTTCAGCAGTGGACTTGTGAGGGGCTGTAATGATATACTCGTATATATATTATACATATTTCACTACTATATAAATATATTTAATATAAGTAACACCCTTTTACCCATTTCTGCCGCCAAGTTGCAGTGCTTGTCTTCCGGTCTGGTCTAGTCTAAGGGTATGGAGAGCCAGTATAATGACAGGCTGTGAGGAATTTCATCCTAGTCCTCAAAAGGGACAAGGCATCTCTTTTCTTTGTTTGAAGTTATCAGCATTTGTAACGTTTGTCACTTTAGTTTAAAAAAAATATTGAATTTAATTACAATTCATACAAAGAGCTCGCAACATACTGCATCCTATTAACTCGTTGGGGTGAATATTATTTTCGTTTCTGTGAATACGTGCAATATATTTCTGACGCTCACATATTAAATAGTGAACAACGGATACGAATTTCTGATTGCAATTACTATTTCCATTTAGCCTAGTAATAATATGAAGGTAACTTAATACTGTTGTGGCTTATGTTAGTTGGCGCTGTTTCGGTTATGTCACCAATTACAGCAGCAAATAATATATTAAATAATAACAATCGTGATGTTAAAAACGACCGAATCTTTCAAAGACTAACTATAAAATGAAATCAGAAACATTGTCGCGATTTTATATGAAAATATTTTTTTTAATGCGGTCAACTCCCAATTTTATTACAGAATCCTAACCCTTGAGAAATTTCGAATATTCTAGTTGAGGTTAAAATACAAATAATTTAACGTGACAACAGCCAAACAATATTTTCATTTTATATAACAAAATATTTAATAAGGATAGGAATTTTTAATAATGAGAGAAGGTTTAAGAGCAACAATAAAGGATGCCTTGGACGAAAAAAATGCTTTCAAAATAGAGATAATGAAAATGGCTGTGTCGATAAATGAATTCATTCATTGATCACTCATTATAGCCTTACAAAAGTCCACATCTGAATATAGACCTCCCCCATAGATTGCCTCATAGGGGGGATATTTGCCATAGTTGACACGTTTACGTAGTTATGTTACATAGGTAAATGTAACATTTTCCAACTGCAATTCTTTTATATGTTTTATTTGTTATCATGAGGATGATATGGGGGGATGGTATGGGGTAACCGCCACTACCGGCAGGCGTTAAATGAATACGCGTCGAAGGCCGCCCGTCTCATTAAAAATAACTAGGGCCAGTACGAAATAAACAAAGGGGAAAAAAACTACACGAAATTTTGTAACATTATTGCAATAAAGTTATAATATCTTACAGAAAATATATATTTTAATTTCTATAAAAAATTCGTCAGACAAAAAATTCCAATTTCGCAAGTACGCAGAAACTCCAAATAGAAACAGATTTTTTGCATGTCGCACAGTTTTTTTTTATTCGATACGGAAATCTAGAATAATTCGGCAAGCAGACACTGCGTTGCCGGACTAACAATTTCCAACCCAATCAAAAGTCGCCTAAATTAACTGTCACAGAGCCATGGTCAAAGTAATCATTGAGCTGTATTTGTTCATACTTTTAATGGAAGTACACGCTTAAGGGAATAGAAATATGGTTTGTTTTTACAGGGTATCATCATATAAATTCAAATAAAAGTGCGGTTTTCTAATTTTAGTTTTTAATAATTTTTTCTTCCTAAATAGGTCCTAATCCATTTCAGTCAAGTGTTAGACACTATCAAAAATCCACTGCTGAACATACAAATAGATTGCCTCATAGGAGGTATTTTGCCATATTTGCCACACTTGGCAACCGCAGGGTTTTTTTCTCGTTGTTAGTGGGAAGACGCTGCTGCTCATCTCCTCATTTGCTTCCTCTAACGACACTCACGTAACGATATGGGGTAGTGGATCTTTCACCCCCACTACATTGTTAACAAAAACGCCTGAAAATATCTTTTGTAAAATAGACTGTTATGTAATTAGAAAATGGAAATACTATATCTGTAGATAAAAATCAATTGCTGTCCGATAGTCTCGCAAAAACTCGAAAATGGCTGGACTGATTTTGATAAAAAAAATTGTGTGTGTTTAAGTGACCCAGGTTGCTCTAAACGATTCACAATTGGACCCGGTAGGTGGCGCTGTTGTCGAGATACAGAAATCACCCGTGCGAACCCGGGGCGGATCGCAAGTGAAAAATAAAATTTAAATTGACTGTTTTATTGGTTCTATAAACTTTTAGGTCCTGTCATTTCTTTACTCTTGGTACTTGGTACTTATTGATGTCAAATCTAGCCGTCTACTTGTATTTTTTATCAATTTTAACATTGTTCATTTATATTGCAGGGAAAATCTCGAACTGATGCGTAGCCTAGGCGACAGACAAGCAATGGGTCGGGCTTGCGGTAATCTCGGAAACACCTGTTACTTACTAGGTGATTTCACACGTGCGATCCGATATCACACGGAGAGGTTAACGATTGCGAGAGAAGTTGGTGATAAGGCTGCAGAGCGTCGAGCTAATAGCAATCTTGGGAACTCTCATATATTTCTTGGACAATTTGAAAATGCTGCTGAACACTATAAGTATGTATTTGTTGCAATAGACGACTTTATTACGAAGGCGGTTTATAACCAACTTCAAGCTACGTTTGCTGTCTTTAATATGTACTTTTTTAATTATACTTTAGAAAATATTTCAGAATTTTAAATAAGTAGTATGAATAGAAAGGTGTGTGTTAAAATTTACCTTTTAAGAAGCTTTACTTACCTAAATTAGATTAATGGTTACATTATAATAAAAATCAGAAGAATACATACGTACCTACTTCCTTTATCCTTGCTATTTATTGCATCTTACGCTGTGCGCCTTACTTATAGTTTGTACGAAAGTTTAATCATGTGTGCATTTATGTTACTTTAAAATAGTATCAAGATTAGCTGGGCAAAAACGTTTTTTTCTAAATGACTGAGTCATCTCGAATGCTGAGTTTTTTTAGTTTCCTTTTAATGCGGTTTTGTTTTTCTTAAAGTTGAGCGTGTTTTGCTGACGATTTGCGATTGATAAAAGCTTCGCTTTTTATTTCTGTACTTAAAAATATTGTCATATTAATTAATATTTAGGTATTATGCTCCTGCTAAAAGTGATTGCCTTCATTGTTTTGGTACAATTTACCATTACAAGTCAAGCCAGCCCCCTTATGATGAACACGTGGTAAATTAGCATTTAAAACTGCAATTAACAATTAGTCTATGCTGGCGGGGATCGAACTCAAGTTGCTCGCGTTCTATGACATTTAGCAAGTGATTTAAGAACGGAATACTTGAAAGCGAAAGAGGCACTTTGACTTAGACTTCAGGATCTTAAATGTCCACGGCATATAACGTGATTTACTTTAAAACTGTTGATTTTGGCTCATTGTTACATTTTCTGACATTCCCAAATCAGTTATACAAGGCTGAACATTATATTATGTTCATTTGAGGACAATAAAGAGTTTCTTGTAATGAATTATTATCATTAAATAAAGTTCAGTGTTCATTCGATCCATTCACGCTCGAACTGTCTGCTAGCGACATGAATGATTCAGTTAAATTTTATGCGGACGTGAAAGGTGCATGGTGAGTGATTAAGTGATGTAGTTAGGCACTAAAATTTGGAGCATATTAATTAACCTGCTTAGACATCAGAAGACATGCGGGAAGTCCTTGAAAGCAATTTCCTCTGAACCGTGCTGTCTGGTATTCTTTGGGGATGGGTTGGAATGAATGATGATGATGGTGCTGACATGCTTAGAATTGATCACTTTTTGTGCCGATGACTTGGAACTTTGCATATGTGAAATTTCTCTAATGAATTTGTGTTATCAGGATATTATTTTTTTTCAGGATATTCCCTTGTCAACGTGCCCTTATTTTATATGTTGTAAAATAACTAGTGCTTATTTGGCGAAATTTATTTATATGTTTTCTTATTTTCACATGCAATTATTGAAAATCTAAATTAAGTGATCCACATGTTTTTGTAGTGAAGCTAAGCTCAATTTACACTTAATATTTAAGTATTGGTTCTTTTCTTGTCTGCTAGCGTGCGTGTGTATTTACATTAAGGTTGTGTGGGCTAGTAGTTAAAGTATTTGGGTACTATGGGATTCGAATCTCAGTAGGAACTAATGTTTTTTGCAAAATTACAAACTCTTGATTTTCGGGTGGTTGCGTTTTAATTATTCTCCCTTACACTTCGTCTCAGTCCATTTTCTATCTTATTGCATCACATAACATCCAGTACGGAGAAATGAAGAGCAAGTGTATTTTTCTATAATTGTGCATAGGAATGTAATTTTTATATGCAGTGGAACACATGTTCACAAGTTGTCGCCATAGTCGAAACAGCAATAAGTAGAGCATGCAGGAGATTTCTATTCTAGTACCGATGATAATTTAAGACTACCCCCAACTCTATCCTGCCCTAAAATTGCAAAAATGATTGGGGGAAATGGCAAGTTCTCAATTATTTGACAAGCTTTAGATATTATATAAAGAGTGGTGAAGTACAACGTTTACAGTACTGCTATATTCTGCGTGTTAGGCACCGTCCTGTGTGAAGCCCGCTACACGTCTGTAGAGTTTGGCGATTATTAAAAATACTCGTAATGAAGTATAGGCCATAACCAATTGAAAACAGAACTAAATCTATATCTATACAAATAAATAAAATTGAAGTGTCTGTTTGTAATGTCAAAATAACAGCTTTTTATTAAATGCACATAAAATTAGAAAAATTGTCTGTCTGTCTGTCTGGACCGATTTTGACGGGACTTTCACTGGCAGATAGTTGATGTTATAAGGAGTAACTCAGGTAATTAAGAAAAAGAATTAGGGCTCCGCACAAAAAAATGAAAACCTTAAATTAAACGCGGGCGTAGTTGCGGGGAGCAGCTAATTGATGATAAGATTGACAAAAATAGGCGGAGTCGTCGAGGGTTTGTGATGAGATCCTACCTAGTTTAAGCACTGCTCGACGACATGAGATCTGATTAAAAACTTTGATATATATATATTGACCTTACCCTCATCAGCCCGTAAGTGTACTGCTGGGGATAGGCTTCTTTGATTTTGATTTTTAAAAGAATTTACCTTAATCGTGACGCTTGGCAGGTGGCACGTGGTGATCGATTAGAGATCTGGGTGTTTCACGTTTGGCTTAAATATGAAATTGGTTATATCCATTAGAAACTCGTAAAATGCTTTAAAGAACTTATACGAGTGTATACATCAACATCAAAACTAATCTATAGTCAATACTAATTCATACCATCGTCATCTTTTTAACCCACCACTAATCCAATGATTAACATGGGCATAAAGACTAGTCTACGTATTACTACAAAGCTCGGTCGTAAACCACCTGCATAAATTTACTCCATGGATGTCAAATTAGATCCCCTATTTAAAGGAGTAACGATCTAGTAATCATTTGGGTTAAGTGCAGTGTTAACAACAGTGAGGATATCCGCAGTAGAACCAGAGTAACCGACATAGCCCAACGGGTTAGTAAGCTGAAGTGGCAATGGGCCGGCCATATAGCTCGCAGAACCGGCAACCGAAGGGGAAAAAAGATTCTCGAGTGGCAGCCTCGTACCGGTAGACGAAGTGTAGGGCGACGCCCGACTAGATGGAGTTACATCTCTAGTAAGACATGCAGGAAGTCTATGGATGCAGGTGGCTCAGGACCTTGCTTTGTGGCATTCCTTGGGGGAGGCAAATGTTCAGCAGTAGTCTTGTGATGAGCTGTAATGATGATGATGACAGTGTTAACTCGAGGACCTTTCTTACTCTTCAGCTCGTGGATCTGCAAGCTATGTTTCTGCTCCATTGCCAATTTAATCTGTTGAACTCTCTCAGTTATTCTGGTTGAACTGCAGGTGTCATGCAATGTGGAATTATCGCAATTTGAAAACAATTGAACACACTATTAATTCTTGTTCCTCCAACAGGCGCACCCTCGCTCTAGCCGAGGAGTTGGGAGACGCTGCAGTGGAAGCCCAGGCTTGCTATTCCCTAGGCAACACTTACACCTTACTCCGGGAATATCGTGTGGCCGAAGAGTACCATGCACGACATTTGGCCGCTGCCAGGAAACTGCAAGACCGAGTTGGAGAGGGTAGAGCTTGTTGGTCTCTAGGAAACGCCCACGCTGCGCTCGGAAACCACGAGAAGGCGTTATACTACGCTAAGGAACATTACAATATTTCTAAGGAGGTCAGTATAATGTTCTTTAATTTGGTTGCGGGTACGGGCACTATTTAACACATGATATGTGCATGTTTTTTTTGCTTTTAACACCACTCCAATTAAGAATGAGGTTTTATAATAAACGAAAAAGATATTTTTAATTACTTGAATTTGAACAGGGCGAAAAACGATAAGGGAAAACTGTTGCTTACAGAGCTACCAGAGCTGTATCACGTATTATCGTTATTTCTATTATTAAAAAGTTGAAATAATGTATTTAGGATTTACTGCGTGCGACGTTATTCTGTGTTAACTGTGAGAAATACGTGCGCAAAGGACAGAATTATTGCTTTCTAACATCGTTCTCGACCTATGTTCTACACCAGCAAAAACTGCTTGTTGTGCGCAGACGACGAGGCGCTGCTTATTACGCCGATATGCACTTTCTTTCTATAGAATAAATGTGATGCTGTTAATGTTCTGAATATGCACACAAATATTAGTTATTGTCCTAGATCCAAAAAGATTCACCCGACGTCTACTCTTGTACTGTTTCTTGAAACAAAAACCCATCGCCGCAATTTCTAGCCACTATTTGCCTAGTCAAATAAAAAATTAGACTTAACACATTAAGATGTTGAGTTATTTGGCTTTGCTGTTTATATTAATTTTGCATGATATTTTTAATAATTGTTTGCAATATTTTTTGCTAAAACGTTTACTTAATTTTACAATAACAAATTTATTTTTGAAAATAACTATCGTAATTAGTTTTACCTGAAGGTGAAAGTACAACAATTCTGGATTATTTTCAATTATATTCCTACACATTATTGAATCACAAATGATTTAAATATGAAAACTAAAACTGACTCTAAGGTGGGTATCCATATAAACACTTTGAACATTTTCATTTATTTAATAGTGATTCAAATGTTTTTCTATCTATGTCATGAACATATAAACAGTATTATGCCACGTAAACCATAGATTTAGTATAAACTGACGTCAGCATAAATTGACAATGCAAAAGACAAAGAGCAGCGCGGCGGAGAGCGCAGAAGGGTCTGGGCGTGAGCCCGCCTGGAGCCTCCGTCGGTGCAGATCTTGGTGGTAGTAGCAAATACTCCAACGAGGCCCTGGAGGACTGACGTGGAGAAGGGTTTCGCGTGAACAGTAGTTGCTCGCGAGTCAGTCGATCCTAAGCTCAAGGAGAGATCTTATGTCGATTTGGCGTGTTTTTTCTTTCTAATTCAATTTTAGATGATAAATAACGCCCTTTGAGCGAAAAGGAATCCGGTTCCTATTCCGGAACCCGGCAGCGGAACCGTTTCAATAATCGTTCCCTCGTTTCAAAGCGAGTGTTCGACGGGGTAACCCAAAGTGTGTACGCGGATGTTAGAGCGAATAAGATATACTAGACCAATCACGTACACGCTACCAGCCTGAATCGGCCTTACGTCATTCGTGAACAAAAGAAATCCCGCTTGTATTTGCAAAATGTCAGGTTTTAAAGTGAAAATTTGTGTTCAATAGACGTAATTAATTATGACTAGGTGCGTAGTACCTAAATATAACTCACCTAAGAAAGAAAACCCACATTATTGTATAATACATTTAATTACATTTAATTCATAGGTTAGATTGAAATGTTTGAATGGGAAAAATTATCACATTTTATAATAATTATCACCAGAGTGCAAAGCAATTGAAATAAATAATCACAAATACGTGAAATCCTGCTAATTTTAACCACACTTTTGTAGAGATTGACATTATCGATATTATCTTATCGAAATGCCCTTAACAGGCAAAGGTATGCCTTTCATGCAGCCTTATTTAACTTCGTATTATTACAGCCTATATACGTCCCATTGCTGGGCACAGGCCTCCATTTATTTTAGGGAGGGTTTTAGGCCAAGGAAATGTCCGCGGCGCTGCCGCAATGCGTGTTGATGAACTTCACATGTCTTCGAAATATATCTTTTTCTTATTTCTCAGACATGCAGGTTTCTTCACGATGTTTTCCTTTACCGCCGAACACGTGGTAAATCAGCACTTAAAATTGCAATTAACAATTTCATTGGTGCCGGCGGGGATCGAACCCGGGTTGCTCGCGTACTATGAAATTTACAGCGAGCGCTAACCATCTGAGCTACTACGGCTCATTTTAAAACATACTAAATGTATGTGTAACAAAACTTATTGATATAACATATAATTTACAAATATATTTATTTAGATTAGAATAAGAGTCGTTCATAAATGCTGGGCACACGAGAGTTAAAAATGGACGAATTTATTACACTTTTGCCTGTTTTCATGGCTTAGACTTGTTAACCTAAACGTAAAATAAAAGAATAATCAGCAAATTTAAATATCAGAAACTTAGCCTAATTATGAATATTTCTATTTGTTTCTACAAAAAAAAAACATATTATATTATGCACAATTTTTCTCACACAGTACCGAAAATAAAATAAAATACAGAAACGTCGCATATCTGAAAAAACTAATTTCATAACCTATATTCCATGACCCGAGTTGGCGTCTTAGGCATAATTTGTTTGGTTATTAATCTATAATACTTTTTTTATTAATTAAGTATCTTACTCACCGATGAAAAGTTATTCTTTTAGTTTAACATTTCTTGAATTATTTGTGCAATATCTAAAACTCACCATTGCATATTTTATCAAAATTTTTTTTATATTATCAACACAGCTTGTATTGATAATATAAAAAAGTGCGGCGATATCGCCGCAGTAGAATGGGACTGCGTAACTTAGTGCAGTGTCGCCTTTAGTACGTAGTGCATAATAACTCAATAGAGACGATACAGTAAGACAGTTAAGCGCAATCAATAACGAACGTATTTGAAATTCTAAAGCCGATATTACACGGATTAACCAAATTGAAACAATTCCATTGAAAACCATTGAACATTTACCAATATACACGTAAATCATTTAAATGACATTCAATGTTCACAGCGCAATGGGATGTTGCGCCAACTCGTACGTGCGGGAATTTCGTTAATATGCGACTATATATATATATTTAACTTTATGTCCTCTTCAGTGACACCATCAATATTTAAATCTTCCTTCAGTGATCTTATAGCATTATCACGCTGATTTTTATCTTTGTAAGACTTTGATTTTGTATTTTACAAACACTCATACAATTGGAAACGTTCCAAAAATAGTGGAACATGACTGTCACGCCACTTGAAAACCATTTTCGCAAAGATTACTGTATAATACCTATATACTAGAGAATTTTCGAAAATCCATGTGCGCAGTCGAAATAAGTACCCGTGCGTACGCTTCGCTGTCGCGCGTTGCTCGGATTGAGTCACCGTTCAGTATTCATGTATACACGTTTCTGTCGCATTGAACAATGACCAATATTGCTACCATTGCATTGAAAGCGTTCGGTGAATTTAAGCTTTAATGAGATTGTGTAATCCCATTGAAATGCATTTAGATGTCTCAAAGCCATTGAAGCAATGAAATTGAAAGCAGTATTGAACCGGAATTGATCCGTCGAAAGCCGATATTAGGCTTAATCAAAACGTTGCTGTTGTATAGAATACTATATGTTCGAATAGTTTCAGTTTTGTACCTGACGTTGTGTAATTAATATTAGTTCTGCAAACTGCACACAAATCCGGTAAATACGATACCTATATAAGATATGTATACAGGAAATGAAAGCATATTCTCCAGCCAGTATTATCCATTGCACGTGTGAACTATGTATTTTTTCAAGTTACAAATACTGTGAAACCAGTACTTAAACAAATCACAAAAATGAAGATAAACTTTCACCGACTGACATCAAAATCGCAAGTGTAAATCAATATACTTTATTTAATTTTATTAATATAATTTTATTTTTCTATTAATAGAAAAGGTAAAGCAGCCTTCCACAGGTAAGGGTAGCATAAGCCGAAAACAGAGTTACAACCTGTTTAGTCTATTAATATTGATGACTCAGGATCAGTGACGGTGGTGATAACTTTCATATACGCCAGCCAGGGTTACCAAAATTGCCGAACTTAAAATTTGTGAGCGACAGAAGCAATTAACATAACAGAATCCTAAAAGTGACACATCGGACATGCGTTAAAATGTGGATTCTTGTTAAATTGGGTATTCTTTTGCTGGATTAGCGATAAAGCCGATTCCAGTAGAAAAAAACAAGTAAGCAAATTATGTTTTACAGTATGTTGTGTCAGTAACCACGTAAAACCAACAGACTGTAAGTAGCTTACTACATCTAGAAGTATTTTAGCCAAAAACAAATAAGTTTTGTTGGTATCGTCATGATCATTGTCATCGTCATCATCATCGTCACCATCATCATCGTATGCAGTATTTGTGATTGATCCGAACATGTGTGTACCATGTCAAGTATTATGGTGTGGTAGTTTTAAAATATGTGTTCGTCTAATCAACCTTGAATTTCTGTTGGTGACCGATACAGCCAGGTACAATATTCACGTAACCTCTCTTGTGGTTAATTTTGACCACTGTCTGGTAAAATACCTGTGTTGTTATATTGACTGCAATTTCCAAGGTGTGCAGCGAATGGCAATTGCAGGGTTGAGATTTTTGAGCTGTATTACTTTGCATCTCATTTTTGGCGACCGATCTGGCATTGTCTTCTGAAGATCCGTAAAGCTGTGTGAAGTGATGCTTATATTGATATTTAATCTCCTTAGCTTACTTACAGAACGAAGTTAAAGCTTGCCCTTGGCTAACGCCTAGTGCTCCCAAGTTGTAAATGAAATCAGATATCTTTGAAATAACAAATTGCGTTGGTACTGGACTCCGCAGATATCCCATGTTTTATCATTTTTGAACGTAGTTCCTTATCGGACAGTACGAATTTGGCGGATGGGGGCTAGGCGAGAAAAAGTGTAAGATTTTTTTCCGTCACGACCCTTTATAAGGTAGTGTAGACGGCCTAGGCGGCTATAAGGAAGCGAGATAGAATAATATCCCTCGCACTTTTTCTTATCTT